CTTCAGATGGATACTCAATATGGAATTGCTAGTTTGTATGGTAGTTTTATTTTTAATTATTTGAGGAGATTCCGTATTATCTTCTATAGTGGCTGCACCAATTTAGATTTCTATCAACAGTGTATGAAAGTTCCCATTTCTCCACATCCTCACCAACACTTGTTGTTTCTTGTCTTTTTGATAATAACCATTCTAACAGGTGTGAAGTGATAGTTCATTGTGATTTTGATCTGCATTTCCCAGATGATTAGTGATGTTGAACATCTTTCCATGTGCCTGTTGGCCATATCTGTTTGTTCACTTGAGTAAAATGTCTATATAGATCCTCTGCTCATTTTTTAATTGGATTGTTTGTTTTATTGAGTTGAATGAATTCTTTACATATTTAAGATATCAACCTTTTAGATATATGGTTGCCAAATATTTTCCCCCATTTGGTGGGTTACCTTTTCATTTTATTGATGGTTTCCTTTGCTGCGCAGAAGCTTTTTAGTTTGATGTAGTCCCACTTGTTTTTGTCGCCTTTGCTTTTGGTGTCAGATCACCCAAACAACCAATAAATCAAATCAATCAAAAAATCATCTCCAAGACCAGTCTTAGGGAGCTACTGTCTATGTTTTCTCCTAGGAGTTTTATGGTTTCAGATCTTACAAGTCTTTAATCCTTTTTTAGTTTGGTTTTTCTGTAGGGTAGTAGAGACTGGTCCAGTTTCATTCTTTTGCACGTGGCTGTCCAATTTTCCCAGCATTTGTTGAAGAGACTGTCCTTTCCCCCTTGTATATTCTTGGTTCCTGTGATTCTGACAGTCCTGACATTCAAGTATTACATTATTTTATTCACAAAGGAACTCCTGTGTATAAATGTTTCCCTGCAGTTATGAAATCCAAATTAAGTAATATTATCAATATTGCCATTATAATAAAATCCAAGTTACCACATAATCTTCTGTTTTTAGCTTTCTACAAGAACTGCTGTTTGTTGCTTCTGAGTTACATGCATTGGTAGGTCCAAGGGAAGAATTTTGTCAAGAAATAGAAAATATTTGTCAAATGATTCAACTTTGCAGATTTAGTGAAGATAGTTCTTGGTTTCACAGCTGGTTGCTTACTTGACATTTGCTCACCTGAATAAACTTAATAAAAAATCACAAGAGCTGCCTGAAAATGTATTAACACATACTGACAAAGAATATGAATTTAAAGCAAAAATTCAACTTTAGAAAAGTTACATTTAAAATGGTTCTCTAGTGATTTTTAGTGATTGCTATGGATTTAAACTTAAGGAAAAATTAAGTCAAACAGAATACCATCTGTGGGTGAGAGACAGCTTCCCTATTTCTGAAATACTTGGTATGGAAATATTTGATTGGATTTAAACTTATTTGCATTTCATAAGAAATTTCAACACTGCATTTATCAAAGGAAGAAAAGGAAAAGCTGTTAGAATTAAAGAATAGTGGTACCTTGGTGCATAATTTCAAGAGAACAAGTACTGATTAATAAGAACAAATTCTGATTAATGGAAAAGGGAGTTTTCATCCGTAAGAAACAAAGCTATAAATCATCTTCTGCTATTTACTGTCTCCTACTTCTATAAACAAAGTTTCTCAGCAGTAGTGATATCAAGGATTTGAACAGACCATTCATCATGTCTTGATTAGAAATGTAGGCAGCTACTTCAAAAAGTTACAGGCAAAGCAGTGGTTGCTTATGAGCTAGGCTTTCTTTGGAAGTTTTATCAAATTGATTATTGAATATTTTCCCAAATACCTTGTACGTTACTTTTCTTATATAATATAAAGAAATTACAATTAATGTCTTCACCACTGTGCCTTATAAAATGTTATCATTGTGTGGGTGTGTCAAAACATGCACTTTGGGAAGCATTTCTCTAGAGGATTGGAGAACAATTTTCTGTGCTTAAGAATCTGAACTTTGGTTAACTCTGAAGCTCTGTTCCCATGGTAACCTAGTAAGAGTAGAATGTCAGTTGTTTCTAGGCAACATTGCTTATGATAAAAATGACCCCTAATGTGTAAATTATATCTGCATTGCAGGAACTAAGAATGTACCCTAAATACCTAATTGGGATCCTTAGCTTTGCATGGCCTATAGTGTTGCAATTCTTTTTCTGGGCCTGTGTCTTGTAGGAACCCTGAAATCTATGCTTATAGAATTATTGTAAGAGAAACTGGCTTCTGTGGGTAAGGTTTTTAAGCCAGAGTGTTTCCTACACCCATCCAGTGTTAATCTCCTTATATCTGAGCTGCCACCTGGAGAGAGGATAACTCCTGCATGACTGTTAGACTGCTGTTAGGAGTCACATGGAAAAGGAAAATCTAATGCTGCCTTGATGGCAAGAGTAGTTCAGTCCTATGTCCTTCTAAGAAGAGGGGCATTGAATATAGTCTATGAAAGTCCTGTGAATCTCAGCCTTTAGTTGAATCTAAGACCCACTGGGGCAATATTTAAGTACACTTGATCCTTGAACAAACATGGAGGTTGGGGCACTGACTCCCCACACAATCAAAACTCCACATATAAATTTTGATCCCCCAAAAACTTAACTACTCATTGCTTGCTGTTGACCAAAAGCCTTACTGGTAACATAAGCGATTGACAGATATTTTGTATATTATATTGTATTGTATTGTATATTATATTCTTACAATAAAGTAAACTAGAGAAAAGAAAATGTTATTAAGGAAATTATAAGGAAGAGGAAATACATTTATAGTACTGTACAGTATTTATGAAAAAATCAGTATATAAATAGACCTACTCAGTTCAAACCCATGTTGTTCAAGGGTCAACTGTATTTTTTTTTCATGTTCATCAACACCCTGTTGGTGTTTTGACAATATCCTCCCTAGTAGATGAGGGATTTTTTTTCCATATCTATAGAAGCTCTCATCTCACTGTTATTTTCATTATATGTGTCCATAATTTGCTATTTTTTGTTCTGGTCAATGAAATATAAACTTGATCACATTGCCAAGGAGCTGTGGGTGCTTCTCTGTGGCCATAGAGGGGTACCAAGTTTTTAGAATATAAAGGGCGAGTGCTGCAACAAGATAGTACAAACACCAACTCTTAGCATATACCAAACATTGTTACAAATTCTTCATATATACTAACTCAATACACAGCAACTCTTTGAGGTCAGTAGTACTGATATATCCATTTTACAGATGGTGAAATTGAGGCAGAGTTGAGTAACTCGACCAACTTGTTGATACAGCTAGGTGACTTGTGCGGCTGGGATTCAAACCCAAGCTTTTGGACTTTAGAACCCAGCCTCTCAAGCACTATGCCTAATGTACTTATCCTCATAATGACAACTACTGCTGCCATTTGGGTCACACACTCTGTGTTAGGCATCGTGCTAAGTGCTTTCCATACGCTGATCTTATTTCATGTTCAAAAGAGCCCCATTAGAATGGCATTCTTTATCATTGAAAGGTGAGGAAATTGAGGATGGATATATGAGGGCCTTTGCTATATGATACTGTTTTGTGATTTGCAGATAGGAAATTCCAAATAATGTCTGATACTCCCATCTTTCAATTTTATGACTAATCTTCAGTGCAATGTCAATTTTAAAGCTACTAGAATTTAGTGGATAACTCAGAATGTATAGCAGATCCCTCCCTAAAACCTGAGGATCTTTCAGGTCCATAGAAAGCCAAGAAAGAGTACACAATGTCCTCTACCTCAGTGTTTTCCATTACGTATTTCCAGGAACATTAGATATAAGTGACATTAATAGGATATGAATAGGTATTTTAAAAATTGTTCTATAATCATGTAAATCTGAGAACATTAAATTAGTGTTAATTAACCTGGGAGCCTCTGTCCCCCATTGAGAGAATAATTTCATTGGAGTAAGTGAGGAATAAGACTGGTTTTTGGAAACTTGAAAGAGAAATGGATGGGAAGCATGCAGTGTAGAGATGCACAGAGGAGAAAAAGGTTTAGGAGCTTGAGAATAAGGATCTTGTATAGATAGGAAAATATAAATAAAAAGGATTTCTAAGTGGCACTGAGCATCAATAAGTTAAAATTCAACATCATGGACCACACCTGCCACCTTCTAGAAGGGTCTTTCATAGGCCTACACAGAGCAAGTTTTGCAGACATGCACCAGGGCCATGGTGAACTGTTTGTTCTTGTTTTTAGGTTGGTTTGATAACTGGTGTTGATGAAACATCTGAAGTTGATAATAGTTTCAGAAACAAGTCAAAATTTTACATTTTAGAGGGAGTCACCTCAAGAATGTCCTAAAAATGCCTTTTCTGTTCTCTCATTCTTTGTTTCCTTCTCCTATCCCTACTTCTATTTTTTTATCCCGTTCTTGCTTTTCTTCTTTACTTGGTTTATTTCCTGTTACACATAAAGCTGAAGAAAGCCCTGGATGACAGTTCAAAGAAGGATATCTTGAAATAAGCAATTTCTCGATAGTAATTATTTTGTTATGTGATAAATAGGACAATTTTTTTTAGCTTAATCTGGGTTTTGATTCTAATCTTATCTAATTCACATTTTCTTGCTTTGATCTTTGACATAATTCTGTCAATACTGGGTAGTATAAAACTCTTCTACACTATTACTATTGAATGGTTTCTAAAGAGTTAATAATAAATAAAAACTTATTTCCAGGCAGTTTTCATATAGGGCTATACTGTTTTAAAAATCTGTAATTTATTTGTTTTTTTTAGAAATTATGTAAGTGAAATTATCAAGCATATTGCCAAAGTTGCAAAATCTCTAAGAGCTATAATAAGTCTATTGTTAGAAAGCAGGTCCCCCTCCTTTTCTTGAGTAATTTATTCAATCTAAAATAAGCTTGTTAGGATTTTTAAAAATTTTAAATAATGTTTGTTTTCCAGAAATGTTTTATTTCTTTAAGACACAAAAGTTTTATGCAATTGCCTAATTTTATATTGCTTAACTTTATATTGAATGCTTGATTCACTTGACCCAATTTGTATTTGCTCATAGAGTTGTAAGCTATGAGAACATCAATAAAAAGGACTACTATACTATTAGCAAAAATGCAGTAACACACATTTATAATAATGACATTGAATTTATCGAAATTGAAAGATGGGAACAGGAATACCTGTATCACAGAGAACTCACCAAGATTCCCATATTTGCACTTTTCCGGAAATGGAAAGCTTTTAACGTGTGGAAGAAGAATGTCCGCTTCAAGAAAATCACTGGATGTCGGAAATCTTTACAGAAAAATTTGTTCATTGTTAATCGTGTACGTATTGATTAATCAAATTATAAAAGAAGTACAGAAAAATAAAGTGTGACTTTATCTCAGGTATAGGTTTAGATTGTCCCTGACTTAGAACATTTCATCTTCTTAATGGAATCATAATTTTCATCCTGTCTTGTTGTGTAGGAGTCTGTCAGTCTAGTGGTTTCTACATTTTAACTAGGATTGCAAATTGAAAAAGCATAAGAAGAGAGTCACACAGATCCCCTTTAATTAGAAGCAGTCTCAGAAGTTTGGATTCTTGACTTCCCTTGTTATTGATCAGGGAAGTTGTGTATCCTTTTGAGCAGAATAGGCTGGCAACACCTATTATCTCCTCTTATCTCTTAAAACACTCTGAACTTTATGGCCCAAAATAATCTGAGGGCTTGTTTTCATGGGTCACTACCTCCCAATGTATCTTGTGTTTTCCTCTATCGTGGAGTCAGACAGTAGGGAGAATTTTAATATTTACTTTGAAGGATATTGTGGGTAAAAGATATTTACTTTAAAGGAGTAATCATGGAAAAGAACTATTAAAGGATGTGGGCCATATTTAAAATCTCTACCCACCCACTGAATTTCAATTTGCATTCAAAGTCTTCTACTTGGCCCCTGGCAATGAACTGGAGTCACCATTACTGTCATGCCCACTGGGTCCTCAGCTATTTCTATGACAATAAGTCACCAGATCAGAATCACCTCTTAAATCAGAAGCCTCAAGTTTACTTTATACTGGTCATTTTCTTCACTTTGCATATGGTAATCTGAATGACCATTATCAAGACTGTAGTCATACAATAAAGGAACATTAAATTATGACTAACGTAGATACTAGAGCAAAATAAATATATAAGATGTACCATCACAGATCATTCATTCCATCAGGCATTCTGAGTCATGGAAAATATTCTAATCTTTCTTGATATCAAACTCAACCCCAGACCTCTAATTTCAATAAGGATCCATCAGTCATTTGAATGTATTTTACTACCTTAGCACTTTTCATCTTTTACCTTGTCTTGGACACTATGTATTTCGTAAGTTTGTTATGAGGTATAAAAAATAGTTCTGCATTTGTCACTAAAGTTACTTCTATCGATCCTTAAGGCTTGTTCTCTAATGTACTGAGAGTTATTCTCTCTGTCCACCATTCATACCAGTAGCACTTTGCCCTTGATGATATCTTCTCTTAAATATAGCCAGTCCTCTGTACTTGCCCTCAGTTTCATAGCTAAAAGAAATGTATTCAAAATGAAAAGGAAGGAATTCAGACAAATTAAAGCTAGTAATTCAAGCAATATTTTTAGAACAAAATTTTAGGAGTACTCCTGTTTAATGTGTATACTTTGTAGATGTAGCTACAGCTAACATATAGAGCTATTTTCCTTAACAACCACTTTTGCTTTCCAAGTATTTTTATACTTATAAAAAACAGGACTTTTTACTAAGTAATGATAAATTTCTATTTTCACTCAGCATTTGCAACTGGCTCTTCTTAAAATAAGTGAATTGTGTTATCACTTGAGTTTTATGGGACTTTGTCACATTGAAAAAGGTCACACCTACACCCTGCAAGAATTTAAGGTTGCCCAAGTCATATGGCTACAAAAGGTAAGGAATTTTGTCTGTAAGTTTCAAGATTTTTTTTTCAGTTATTGATACTTTGATTCCACTAATTATACATGTTCATCAATGTCTAGGTGACTGAGCGCCTAGAAGAATTTCGAAATGAGGCAAAAGATGTGGTCAGGAAGGCTTGTCGAATTGCTCTGCGTGCTGCAGGATTTATTCCTGATGACTGTGCATATGAACCTCTTGAGAGTACGAAGGGGAAAGAACTCCAATAGATCAGAAGTCATGGCTTTCTAAAATATTAACTTTTTTATTCAACTTTTAAGTTTAAATAATGAACCTAATTATAAGTTCTTCCAAAGTTTTGTTTGATGGGTTATAAATTCAGTGTATATTGTAGAAAGGGAGACACAGTAAGTACTGTATTTTCCTTGCATTGTCCCAGCTTATGGATAGTATTTCTATACTGGTTACAGAACCTTTGTTCCCCAAGTGTGTCATAGTGGATTTTAAAGGTGTGTCCCAACCTCCTAGTACAGATATGTGTTTGTTAAAATGAAAGGGCTGGATGAAGGTCAGGATTGGCCCAGCTGGCATGGACTCTAGATAAAGAATAATTAAAACACAGGCAGAAAAGGAGGGTAAAGGTTTTCCTGGGAAAGAGGTGGCATGGTACACAGATCAAATCCTGTTAAAGGGAATGTTAGTAAACTGTCTACAGTCTCTTGCTGAGCTGAAGTCCTTTGAAGTGGAATTCTTTTGGATAACTGGGCTGTGCTCTCTAGTTTGACGTATCTCATGAATCAAAGCATTTTATTGTTTTTAATTTTACCTATAATTTAATCCATATCAAAAGAAATGGAATTTTTACACAAGAATTACTATTGTTGTGTCTTCTGTTGTTCTTAGGTTATTGTAGAATGCTAGACAGTGAATTGCCTACTTACACAGATGGTGAGAAAATGACGTACACAGAGCAGGCCAGCAAAAGGCATCAATGCATGAGGCTGACATGGTAAATGATTTTTCTTTCTTTCAAGAAAAATTAGAGCATCCATCCTTCTCAAGTTTCATAAAAAAATTAAAACTTCCATCATAGGATGGAGGGATTTGGGGTATATGGTAACCTGAATGCATACCCCAGAAGCTGACCCCTCCAACTGCCATCTGGCAAAGTAGCCACTGGGAAAGGCAAGCTGATACAGAGTGAAGTACACGTCCAAGGCCAAGAGCACCTCTTTGATCTCTGAGGCTTTGTTTCCCTCTGGCCCAGCTTAGAGCATGGAGCAGGCTGTAGAAAGAAGTCAGGTGCACAGAGACCTCACTGGATCCTCAAGTGGACCTGGGGGGCCTGCTACATCTGTCTGGTCACTGAAGAATTATAGGCATCTGCTCTGCCACAGAAAGTCCCATCCCCTGTCTAAAGCAGATTCTGTAACTGGGAGACCAGAGAAGAAAGTCTTCTTTCCAAGGCCTCACCAGGGATCTCTCCCTCACTAGCATTAGCTGCGCCAACTGCTTACCCAACTGGAACTTGACATTGTCCCACAGTTTGGATTTTGAATCATTCTTAAACCTCATCACTGCAAATAACTCTTGCAAACAAAATCACCAAACATTATCTGAAAAGCTGTATGTGGCACTCTAAAACACTGACTATTCTTACTCAGGGCTCACTTAGCCCAACTTTCACCGCTGTCTGAAAAATCCTAGCTGTGCACCAATTTATGCATGAGATAATACGATAATACTGTCTGTGTCACAGCAGAAGTCAGTGAAGCAGTCCCTAAGGCCACCATCATAGTATAGGTACTAGAGGTCCCCTGGGCTCCACTTAAGCAAGATAAAAAGTTATTTTAAAAGTCTTGCTGGCTTGGTCTACATTCTAAGCATTCAAGTACAGAAGAAATTTGCATCTTGGGTTAGCAAGTGCTGCCAAACATTTGTTCCATATATAATATTTCATACTTTTACCACTAGAATGTAAGTTATAAATGTTGTGTATTTTCTGATTTTATCTTTAAAGCTTTTTCTAAAAATCTCAAGGCCCTTTTGGCTAGGTGCTTTTTTTCCTACCAACTGTAGTGCTCATTAAATATCCTATTGGAGAGTTAGAACACTTAGCTAAATGGATGCTATATATTTGAATATGTTTGTGTTTTAAAATGAAGAATGTCCAAAAACAACTATTTTGGTTAATACATCTCTGATTTTATAATATAAATAGAAATTCAAAGAGTATTTGGGCTATTTTAAAATTTAAACACTTGCTCTAGAGTCACTTTAAAAAATATGTAATGGGTATTAAAAAACTGAAGTTATGTATTTTTTCTTTTCAAGCTTTATCCGTCTAAATGACTATCTGATTGAGAATACAATGCACATCCTAACAGTAAATTCTATTAACTCTCTTTTGAATTATCTCGCTGGCAAGCTAAAACGAACACCTTCAGCAGATGTCATTCAGAAATGGATTACTGAAGAGAAGCCTGAAGTCACTGATAAAAAGGTATATTCAGACTAAATTAAGAAAATGTATTGCTCAGTATTTATTGAGGAGTGCCTACTATGCACTATGAATTTCTCTGTACTGGAAAATAGGAGGAATGTTTAGTGCATTTCACAGTGTAATTAGAGAGCTCACCATATGCATATGAAATGGCAGAATGAAAATCAATATATCAAATATCTGATAATAGAGAAAGCATCCCTTGTGCCTAATGCCGCTATCTTTCTTACAGGAATTTGCTGAAGTGTATTCATATGTGCATTTGACAAATATTTCTTAAGTACCACTATGTACTAGTCTATACTGGGTGTTGGTATATAGTGATGAAAAGCATAGACAGGATCCTAGACATGTTGGTATATAGTGATGAAAAGCATAGACAGGATCCTGTCCCCAAGAAGCTTATAGTTGAGGGGTCATCATGGGCATGAACTGGCAGAGAAGGTGGTATAAATGAAAGAGGTAAGCAATGGTTTAGAGGTAAGAAGCAAACCTTTGTGCTTTGAGTGGATAACCTCTTGGGAGGATGTTGATCTTAGAGACAGAGTAATTTGAGGTGTCTGAGAGGAAGTGGTACTAATTTGACTGAATTACAGCATAGCTAAGATATTATCTCATAGCCTCATTTCCTAATAAGCTTTTCCCTTGCCCCATCCTGGATAACAGTTTCGTGCCACATACCTAAAAACATAGCAAAACATTCTTACCTTGTTTCACAGGCTTCCTTCCTTCACATCTTAACTTCCTCCCCAGAAAACCCAACTATGCAGTTTCAAGAACTGATGCTCTTCACCATAGTCTTCTTTTCTCCAAAAGCTGAATTTTGGTTGCATACTGCGTTTCATTACTTAGACTCTTCTCCTTTTCTCAATTTCTTTTTTTTTTCTAAAACTGTCACACTTGTTTTTCTAATCATAAAAGTCATATAGGCCAAGTGCAGAAAACTGGAAGGACACAGAAATATACAAAGAAAAGCATCCTCTGCTATCCAAAATTAAGTATTTCAAGGGGAAAAGGTGTCATACTTCACTTACTACTTTGTCATATTCTTTTTCTATTTAACAATGTATTGTGAAAAAAATCTCATGAGTTAATATACATCTTTCCATGTAATATTCTCACATAGAAATGTACTTACTATACATCTTGTAAGGAATTTTGTTTGTATTATTGATCACTTTCTCACTACTCCAAATAATGTGCAAAGAATATCCCTGGCTACACATATTTCACACATCTCTGACTTTTTTTCCCCTTAGAAGAAATCCCTAGATGTGGAATTGTTGGGTCAGAAATATGCTCACTTGTTAAGGCTTTTGATACTGATACATAACTTTCCATAAAGTTTTATTTCAATTTAGAACCTTCCTAGCAATGTTTGAGAATGAGCGAAATGACCCACATACACACTTAGATACTATCAATCACTTTAATCTTTGCCAATCTGGTGGATGTAAAGCAATATATCACTGCTTTTAAATATCATATTCCTTTAATTGCCACCCCAGTGAAGGGATAAGAGCAAAGGTCTTGTGATCAGAAAGACCTGGATTTGAGTTCTGGTCTGCCACTTACTAACCAGTGTGTCTGGGATGAAATGCCTTGCCTTCTGCAGATCCTGTTTTCTCATGGGACTAATAATGACACCTTCTTCATGGTTGGTGTTAAAATTACTGAATACTTAGCACTGCCTGATATGCAGTAAATATTTGGTAAATGTAGCTACTGAATAAACTCTCTTGAGGAAGAGAAGGAGAAGGTTGATTGATCAGTTGTGCATTCTGTTTAAGAAATGTCAGATTATACCCTTTTCCCATTTTTTATTTAAGTACATTTTTGTTTTAGTGTATATCTATTTATATATCAATTATTATGTTGTTAGTATATTTTTCAATTGAGTCTATTTTATGTATTTCTGTTTAAATTATGTTGTTAGTATATTTTTCAATTGAGTCTATTGTATGTATTTCTGTTTAAATATCAACCGTCTGTCTGCTATATATATCACTGGTCTATTTTTATACTTTGTTCTTTCCCTTTACATACTGTTATTAGTGTTTTTATAAGGAGAGAAGCTTTACACTGCTATATAGTTTTTCAATATTTGCCTTTATTTTTTAATTTCTATGGTAATATTCTTTGAAAGACATGCCAACATTATAAAATCAGCTAATTGTATAAGTTTAAGTTTATATGCATCTTACAATGCAGGTTTTTTTATTTTACACCTTGGTGCTTATAATCTTTATAACACAGCAAATGTGCTATTTCAGGGGGTCCCTGTAATGGAAAAGCAGGAAGAAGATGACTCTCTCATCCCCATGTTTCTCACAGAACTGATTTTGACAGTCCAGTCACTGCTTTTTGAGCCTTCTTTGGAAGACTTTCTGGTGTGTGTTTCTTTATGTCACATCATGTATAATCACCTTTTTGGAAAATGAAGAACTATACTACTGTCAAATAACTGGCAGGATTGCTGTTGTCACTCCTCCAAAGTGATCTTAAGACAAAGAGAAAACATTGTTCTGTGCATGGCATTACAGTGTCATAAAAACCATCAAAAAGTTTAGCACATTTTCTTTAATGTGGGACAGATTAGGGGCTTTGTAGGATAACCAACAAGAGAACATATTCTCTTCAAAATTTAGAGTAGACTATAGACCTCTCTAATAAGACTCTAAGAAGTCACTCTAGTATAAGAACCATTTCTGAAATCTTTTTAAGTATGCTACATCTGAGGAAATTTTGTTTTTTTAGTTATCTATTGCCATATAACAAATTACCACAGATTTGGCAGCTTAAAACAACCATTTATTATCTCACACTTTGTGGATCAGAGGTGTGGGCACTGCTTAACTACCCCTCTGCTTCAGGGCCTCTGCAGGGCCTCTTCAGGTATTGGCTGGATGAGGTTTTCTCAGAGGCTTGACTGGAAAACAATCCACTTCCATGTTCGCACAGGCTGTTAGAAAAATTAATGTTTATGAAACTACAATCTGAAGTCCCTGTTTTTTGAGGGATATCAGCTGGTGATCACCCTTAGGTCCTAGAAACCACCTCTAGGTCCTTGCCATGTAGCCAACTGTATAAGCAGTTTACGTTTGCTTCTTCAAGACCAGCTGGACAATCTCTCTTCAGGAAGGGCCCAATCCCTCTTTTAAAGACATTCACTTGAATCAGTCAAGCCTAACACAGGATAATCATCTTTTTTATTAACTCAAAGTCAACTTATTTGGGACCTTAATTATATCTGCAAAATCCCTTCAACTTTCCATATAATATAACCTAATCATGAGTGTGGTATCTCCTCTTATTCACAGGTCTCCCCTATGCTCAGGAGGAGGGGATTATACACAGTGTGCACAATAGAGGGAGGGAATCTTTGGGGCCATCTTAGAATTCAGCTTCCACATTTGTGTACATGCATAGACTAGTGGACTAATCAGAGTCTAGATTTAATAAGCAACCGGTATACTCCTGGCACAAAAACATTAGTAATCAGGATCTCTATGTTTTACTCTGGGTTTTATAATTAGTGAGCTATTTGACCTTGGGGAAAACCACTTATGTCTCTAGGGATCAGTTTATGCATCTACAAGATGAGAAGGCAGGTGAGTTTTAAGATTGCCTCCAATTTCAGCAGTCCATGATTCTGGGATTTATCAGATAGTCTATTTTAGGATTTTTACAAGGACAGACACACTGTTGAGGTCTCTGTGGTTGAAGCTTTGCTCAAGAGCTCCCACACAGAGAGGCACTGGGCTTTCATGTCCCTTCTTGGCCAGAAGTCTCACGTCCCCCACATGGAAGGCAGATGCCCCTGTGCAGCAGATGGCACAGAAGGCTCTCTTCAGCAACCTGCTCTCCTTTAGCTCCAAGTGATGGGCCTTGAAAGCCTCAACACCCTCCCTATTTCCTAAAGACCCTACTCCCCACAAAGGTATTTTAAACTGTGTCTTCTGATTCTTCATGTAGTTAGAATCAACAAAGAATCTGGCATGGTTGAATAAATTATTCTTATTTATTTTAGCATTTTAGAAAATTCAAAAACATTCATAAATATAACCATATGTGTGTATACACTTACATTTTTGTTTTTCTCCCTAACAGGATGGAATTTCAGGGGCAATCAATCATTTTCAAAACACTGTGTTATCAGTTCCTAATCTCGTGGCTGATACATATTTTGATGCTTTCACCAGCCCTTATATTAATAACAAACTTGAAGAAAAAACTTGTGGATCTGGTCCAAGCTTATCAGCAGTATTTGATGATGATAAGAATTTTCACACAATTATCCTTCAAATAAAGGTATACTTTTACTTTTTTAACTTTTTTAATTTACTTTTACTAAAAGTGTTTTATAATAGTCTCAATCTTTAAGAAATTAAATAATAAATTCTCTTCCTTTCTTATCTTTAAATTAATTCTTTATAAATGGTAAAGTGAATTTTTTAGAAGTCCTGGTACAGCACTGAGGAAAGGGACTTAACAGTGCAAACTGTCTGAGATGGAATCACTTCTGGGGTAGAAAATAAGGTTAAAAGGGAAGAAGAGGCATTATTTGAACACTGGTTGCTACAGGAGAAATTAAGCAATCAGTGAAAATTTGATAGGTTTTTCAAGACAAAAAAGAACAAAAAAAATTAGAGTACACTCAACTCTTCCCCCACCACCAAAACATAAAATAATCTACACATTGCTATACAGAACAGGATGCCTTTGAATTATAAATCTTGTGTATCACTCCAAATCCATAAGCTGAAGAAACTGAAATATATTAAATACATGCAAAGCTACTATAAGAAGAAAACAGAAAGTGCAGATTAAAACAACAGATGAATATTCCTTCTTTTCTCTCCCCCAAAAACCATGAGACAAAAGCTACACTAAACTTTAGTAAATATCCTCAAACATGCACTTGAAGATGTGTAAAACCACACTGAATCAAAAATTCAAAAACAAAAATAGAAATGGGGGTAAAAAAAGCAAAATCATATTAGAAATGCAGGCTAAACTATGTGGTATCCAAGGGAGAAGAAATGCAAATGAAAATTTAATCATTAGTACAGAAGAGTGATAGTAAGAATGATAGTAAAAACTAGTGAGTATAGAAGAAAAACAGTAAAACAACCAAGAGAATAAAAGTAAGCCAGAGATATAATTAAAAAGGGTCAGAGAGAAAGTGACTGAAACAGACAGGCAAAGAAAAAATAGCATACAAGTAACTGGAGTCTCAGAAGGAGAAAAACAAAACAAAAGGTAGAATAAACATTTATAACTATAGTCCCAAGAAAACCTGAATCTATGAAAGGGCCTACAGAGTACCTTCGAAGGTTGACCCAGAACAATCATCTCTGACATGTATCCTCTTAAAACTATTAGCTTTTAAAGTTAAAGAAAAATTCCTCCAGGTTGCAAAGCAAAATGATCAAATAACTTACAGAAATAAGAAAATTACACTGACATCAGACTTCTCAAAAATAACAGATAAAGCAAAGCAGTAATAGAACATCATTTCTTAATGAAATTCAAAGGAAGTGTGAATCAAGAATTTTTATTGAACCAAGCTAGTCCTTCAAGTATCAAGGCTATGAAAAAATCGTTTTAAAAATGCAAGGACCTAAGGAGTTGAGTACTAATCAAGAATATTTATGGAATGAAGATGAGTTTCATCCAACCAAGAGATAACTTTGGCAAAAAAAACTGATCTTCCTATTTCTGGTTCCACATGGAAGGAGCTTGGAAGTCACCACTGCATCCTATCAACAAGTAAAAAGTTGAACAAACTGAAAAATCAACAAATCTTCTTGGGTACAGAAGAGAGGTGAGCACACAGAGCAAACTGAAGCCTCCAAGACTGGAGAGACAAGTGACGACATGGAGGGAGTTATGACTTCTGAGAGCAGAGTTGTGAGCAGAAACCACCATGGGAATCAGTGCCAGGGCAGGAAAACCTAAACTATAACTGATGAATTGCTGGAGGCTTGGTGTGGACAACTCTGAGAGTGAAAAACTCCAGGGGAACCCAGTCATGGTGGGAGCCCCACAATATTATGAGATATTACCTCCAGGAGTTCAACCAGGTTCCAATAGTAGATAATGGGAAAAAATCCTCTCATGCTTCCAGCAAAGGGAGGGGACAAGGAACCATTTGAAATATGCCACAACACTGTGTTATTAACAAGGTGTGCCCTCAGAGGTAGTCAACCAAAACCTAACGTGCTGGGGTATTATCAGAACATAACTGAACTGGGTGAAGGGAAATATACAACTCCAGCCCACCCTAGCTATCCTGTCCCACTTAGGGGAGAGAAAAATAAATGAGAAACATTTTTGAGGTTCACAGTCCAGAGGCATAGGCTCACTAAAAAACTGAGACCCAATGACAGGACTATAGAACTTTTCCTCTCCTAGCACACCTCCCCAGCCACTTACTAAAGACCTGTTTACAGCAGTTTCTTTTACCCAGTACCTCATGTCAAGCTATCACACAAAAAAATTACAAGGCATACCACAAAGGGAAAAAACACAATTTGAAGACAGAACAAGCATCAGAACCAGACATGGCAGGGATATTGGAAATAAAAGACCCGGAATTTAGAACAACTATGATTAATATGTTAAAGGCTCTAATGGGTAACATAAACTGCATGCAAGAACAGATGGGCAATATAAGCAGAGAGATGGAAATCCTAAGAAACAACCAAAAAGAAATGCTGGAGATTTTTTTTTAAGATCACTGTAATGGAAATGAGAAATGTCTTTGATGGGCCTATTAGTAGACTGGATACAGCTGAGGAAAGAATCTCTGAGCTAGAAAATAGATCAATAGAATCCTTGAAAACCAAAAACCAAGGAGAACAAAGATTAGATTATTAATAAAAAAAAAACCAGAACAGAATATCCAAGCAGTGTGTGACAACTTAAAATGATGTAACATATGTGTAATAGGAATACTGTGTGTATGATTCCAACTGTGTGATGTTCTAAAAAAAGGCAAAACGAGGGAGATGGTAAAAAGATCAGAGGTTGCCAGAGATGGGGTGGAGGGATGAATAGGCAGAACACAGAGGATTTTTAGGGCAATGAAAATACTCTGTGATTCCATAATGATGGATACATGTCATTATACATTTGTCCAAACCTATAGATTATGCAACGTCAAGAATGAACCATAATGTAAACTGTGGACTTTGGGTGATTATGTGTCATTGTAGATTCATTAGTTGTAACAAACTTACTCATCCAGTGGGGGTGTTGATAATGGAGGGGTCTGTGCATGTATTGGGAGCATATGTGGAAATCTATACTTTCTTTTCAACTTTTCTTGAACCTAAAACTGCTCCCAAAAAAGTCACAATAAAAAAGCTGTTGGTGACTATTTAATATATTTAACTGTAGATCTCTCTAAGACTAAAACAGGTAGAGAGAACGATGGGAGATTAATATATAAATGTTGTATGTTCTAATGTAAAAATAATGCAACCTTAAAAACAAAGATAAGGAAGAATACAAGAACATTGATTGATTTAGAAGTATAAGTGGGAATTTAGATATCAGTAAAAACCAACAAATCAAATGACAAAAGGTTAATAAAGGAATGTATGACTACTGTCATTTATTTTTAAAAAGATATCACATAGAGAAGCAAACACAGAAAATAACCATAAAACACATAAAAATCATTATCAAGGTGAGGCCAAACATATTAATAATATAATGAAATATGAATGCATTCAATTCATCTATTAAAAGAAAAAAGATTTTAAATTTGGTTCAGAAGACAAACAATAAGCTATATTCAAGAGAGAAATATAAAACCAAGTTAAAAAAAAAAGCAGTTCAGGAAGGATAAAAGTGAAGGGATGCTCAGTGTTACAGAGGCAAATGTAAACAACAAAAAGGCAGGCAGGGCTTGTGATCCTACAAGTAGGGGGTTATAGCACAGGAAACACTTTTATAATGGAAGTGATGCATTGGAACATGAAAGGAAACAGAATAGAAGACTTTTGCATTCTATTATCATTATTAAGACAGATCAAGTGGGAGAAAGTAAATAAAGCTATAGAAGGTCCAACCAACATAATCAATGAAAAATAAGGAAATAACCATTGCAGCAGGATATAAAAACACAAACAAGATTACACTGAAAATATTTATCCAAATAAATTTGAAAACCTAGATTAAGTGGATAGTCTTTTTAGGGAAACATTGATCTAAATCAACCATATGAAAAGTAGAAAGCCTACCATTTCCATAAAAGACATAGAGGAATCTATCAAAGAAATACACTATGAAAAGCACCAGGCCCAAATGGACGGGCCTGATCAGGAGAATTTCATCAGATGTGAAAGACCAGATAATCACAAAGTTACCTAAATATTGATCTAGAATACTGAAAATGCCTGGTAGAGAAAAAAAACCATTCATATATAACAAATATATTTAGGAATAAACCTAATAAAAATGTTAAAAACTTATATGAAGTAAAATTTAAAACTTTTTTAAAAGCTTCCAGAAGATACAAAAACAGGCTTGGACAAATGTTCTTAGAATGACTCAATATAATAAAGATGCCTGTTCTCCCTAGGCTAATGTATAAATTTAACAGTGTTAATAAAAATACTAGCTTTACCATAGAGTCAGACAAATTTATAGTAAAGAAAATATGTAAAAATAGACATGCAAGAAAGCTAGGAAAATACTGAAAAAAGAAAAGCCTGACAGGTACTACCCCTACTATATATTAAACACTCTACAATTAAGAGTGTGATACTGGCACATGACTAGGGGAATAGAATAGAAAGCCCAGAAAGACACTGCTATACATGTAGACACTTATTAAATGAAAACGTGGTATATCAAATTACTGATATATGGACTTTTTCATGAAGAGTGCTATAAAACTGATTAGCTATTTGGACAAAGATAAAATTAAATCAAAATCTTACATTGTACTAAAAATAACTGGACCAGGAATCTAAAAATAAAACAATTAAATAAGATAAAACCATACATTTACTAGAAGAAAACATAGTTGAATTCTCCTATAACCTTGTTAAAAAAATCAGGTTATCTAATTATGACTCAAAATTACAAATGCAATAATAGAACAAAATGATAAATGTGTATAAAAATAAAAAACTCTTCAAGGCAAAAAATTCATGAAGTCAAAACACGGTTAAAACCTGGGAGTATCTATTTGCAGCATATATATCATAGCTAAGGGCTAATATTTCTAATACATGAAGAATTTTTACAAAAGGGGAAGAGGTATATATTGTACCTCACCCATAAGATAAATGCAAATTAAAACAAAATTGAGGTAATATTTCTCAAATATCAGATTAGCAAGATTAAAAAGTATGACAACATACTCTGTTGACTAGCCCATGGATAAAACGTCTTTACACTTTGTATGTGGAAATACAAATGATGAGAACTTTATAATATATAACTAAACTATATATGCATTTAATTTTTAAAATTTTTTATTAAGATACATACAATAAAGTACACACATCTTAATGTACAGCTCAATGAATTTTGACATTTGTGCACACTCATGCACCCACCACTGCATTACTTTTGATCCAGTAATACCACCTTTAAAGATGTGCCCTGCAAGAGGAGGAGTTTAAGATACAAGAAATTGTGTTATTTTCATCTTCTGCCTCAGTAGAGAAATAGTGCCTTCTAGTGCTTGTAACAATGTCTTGTATTTGTACCATTTCTATTCATACGAAAAGTAAAATAATACTTCTACTTTTTGTGGAAAAAAAAGATGTACCCCGTAGATACATTTCAACAATACAAAAGTACAAATGTGCTAAATTATTTAGCATTATTGCTATTACAAAATATTGGAAACTCCCAAAATACCTATACAGAGGAAAATGATTGAAAAACGATGGTACATTTACACAGAGAAATACTATGCAACTGAACAAAATAATAAGGAAACTAGATAGTAACTAATATGGAGTGATTTCCAGGATATATTATTAGGTGAAAAAAGGAAAAGTACAAGAGAATTGTCTATACTATGCCACTTTTTATGTCAGAGAATAGCGGTTGGAGAGTTCCAGAACTAGGAAATTGGTTAGCTAAGGAAGATAGTGGGAATGAAGTCCAAAGAATGAAGTTAGGTGGGTATGGAGTGGAAGATGGGAGACTGACACTTTTCTGAGAATACCTTTTATGATATCTCTAAAAAAGTCAACAATAATGGGAAGCAAAACCCCAAAATAGATTAGAAACAAAAACCAATAAATCTGAATGTATTGCAGATGAATAACATAACCACACTGAAGGGAAGGGGAGAAAAAACTACACCTGAATGATCACATATCAGAAACACTATTAAGTCAGCTCAAGGGAGATGAAAGTTTAGCATAGTTTTTTCCTCTCAACTTTTAATGCAAGAAAATAAGCAGGAGAAACATTCCAGAAGTATGCATAAGAACTTATTAAAGGGAAGTAAATGAACAAATAACTATAGCAATATAGGGTGTGTGTTATTCTATGTAATTAAACTTCCTACTACTAGCCAGTATCACTAAAGCCTGACTCTGAGACTCTTACCCTAGCATTGATGTGTAGAGAATGAGCAATTCCACTGATCATCTCTGTTTTCCCTGGGATGAACTGCAGTCTTTTGCAGGAAGTCTTGGTAGGAATATGAGGGAAGGCTATGGAGTACAGCCAGGGAGTCATAGAACAAGAACCATCAAGCAGACAAATGCTAACTGCCTTTCATAGACATTGAACTATGAGAATATGTATTGACATAGGTAATAAAGTAACTGAAATGTTTGAAAATTATTGTTATTGTTTGAAAAAACTGTGGGGAAGAGGAGGTTGGTGTCAAGTTTCAGAGAGGTGAGGGAAGGGTTTTTATTAGGTCAAATATAGAGGACATTCTGGAATAAGAGACTTGCTAGTACAGAGAATTTGGTAGTAAGATTAAGCCGGTCATTTTGTAGATATGCTAATAAACACTTTTGCCTTTGCTCAAAAACACTTCAACTAAGACATAAAATTTGAAGTTTGGAAAATAAACAGACACTATTTCTTGCCATATGTCCACTAGTGATATAAAAGTTCACCCTGAAACTTTCTAAAAAAATTACAAGTATGCTTCCTTTCAATCATAAGGAACAATTCTTCAGAAGTCAGACTTGAAGATGTATTTTTTTTAGTTCATAAGAGTATCCACTAACTGCTTCTTGACATCAAGAATGGTATCTTTCCTTACTTATGTATCTCCAGGTCAAAGCATACTGTTTGACACAGAAAAGGCATTTGTGTTTGTGTGTTATATTGAATTGAATTCTGCTCAGGAAAAATGTCATGTCTGTTTGTTTATAACATATAGGAAACCATACAGGCAGCATTTGAATCTGCCCAATTATATGCAGCTACATTTGAAAAGTTCCAGATATTCTTCAAGGAAAATGAAAATCTTGATTTACAAGCTCTTAAACTTCAAGAACCTGGTAAGTTTTCCATTTGTCCTTCCTAATTATTTTGGATAGGAATACCAAGGTTTATAGTATTCTAGAATTCTGTTCTGGCTAATGGTGGCCCAAAATAGTTGGCCTGACAAAAGGCAAGAGTTTGCTCATTGCTAGGTTATTTTCTATACAATTACTTTTTTCTTTAGCTTTGCTCAGTGTTGCTGTTTTATTTTAGAATATTATGGAAAGCAATTCCTCCCTGATGGCTTGTCTTTTAGTATGAGGTACCAAGCTACATAGCCTGTGTACAGGAAAGAATTGGAAGGAATGTACACCTGTACAAATTCCCTTAAGTAGTGTTTACATACATATCTCAGGAATTCAAGTTACTCTTTATTTCTGCAGCCATATTTCAACCTGGTGGGTATGAATCAACAACTCTTAGTCATGAAATTAGATCCAAAGGGAAACGATCTAATTAAACTTATTATCTTCAACAAAAGAAAATAATTTATGATACCTAAGTGAAATTTCAAGCAAGGAAGTTTTCAGATGCTTATGCAAATTAAGTATATATTATTCATTATTACTCTTTAAAAACATGAAGCATGTCATTCATATTGTTTTTATTTCATGAGCAGGCTTTATTCCTTTATTTTCTGGTACGCAGTAATGATTATTTTGAGACTTTGCCTCATGAACCAGCACTAATTTTTATTATTCTTAAAACATTTTTTAATTAAAGTATCATTCATAAACAATCTTATGTTTGTTTCACATGAACAACACTGCCAGCACTAATCTTTTTTATTAAGGTATTATTGATATATACTCTTATGAAGGTTTCACATGAAAAAACAATGTGGTTATTATATTCACCCATATTACCATGTCCCCCCTATACCCCACTGTAGTCACTGTCCATCAGTATAGTAAGATGCCACAGAGTCACTATTTGTATTCTCTGTGCTACACTGTCTTCCCCATGATCCCCCCACACCATGTGTGCCAATCATAATACCCCTCAATCCTCTTTCTCACTCCCTCCCCACACGCCCTTCCCCACCCCTCCCCTTTTGCAATCCTCCAAATAAGGCAATTTGCTGTTGCTCTGACCCAGGATCTATCCAAGAACAGGCATTGAATCTGGTTGTTACGTCCCTTAAGTTTTTAAAATTGAAACAGACCTTTTATGTTAAGATACTGACTTGTTGGTGAGACCAAAGTAAGGTCTGCTTTAGAAAACAAAGCAATTAGACAAGTCTGTTTCCATAGCTCTTAACAAGACTCCCACACTGAGACAGTGTGGTTGAACTGAAGTGAACTGACAGGGACATGATGCTTCACAGGCTATGGCGTGGCACCTTGCTGGCAGTAAGTATAGCACCTGGCATTTCAGCACACAAAGTAGGCCTAGCCAAAATAACCGGTTTTAATCCTATAGATCTTCTAATTACAGCCTTGAGCCCAAGGCCTCCCTGTTTCCCACTACCACATGGGTCACATCACATAACTTTGATCTCTAAAGTTCCCACCTGGATGGGATCACCAGACATGTAGGTTGCTCTCAGTCTAGTCCTCCTTTGATTTGTCAATCCTATCCCAATCCTGGAGCCAGGGTCTCACAGTTAGTGACTATTTGTTGACTGGGACTTTGAAGTAGGTAAGCCTGAACTCCTGAACTCTGTGTTGCTCCTCATTTTGGAACCCCCTGGTGTTACCTGAACCTCTAAACCCAGTTTTTGACAAAGGTTAATAGAAGGTAGCTTTACCCCTTGTGTACCATGCCTTGCCTGTTCTTATATCCCCTCAAATTACTGTAACATTGCCTGGCACATATTATAAATACTTAATAAATGTCTGGGGTTCTTTTAGCTATGAAAGGAATTTTTTATTGAAATACAGTTGATATACAATATTATATTGGTTTCAATTATACAACATAGTGATTCAACAGTTATCTACATTATTAAGTGCTCACCCAATAAGTGTAGTTACTGTCAACAAAGGAAGATATTACAGTATTATTGGCTATATTCTCTAAGCTGTACTTTCATCTCCTTGACTAATTTATATTGTAATTGAGATTTTGTACCTCTTTATCCCCTTCACCTGTTTACCCAGCACTCTGATCCCTTGCCCATGGTAACCTCCAGTCTCTTCTCTGTGTCTACGAGTCTATTTATGTTTTGTTCATTTGTTTTCTTCTGTTTTGTTTTTTAGATTCCATATATAGTGAAATTATATGGTATTTGTCTTTCTCTGCCTGGCTTATTTCACTTAACATAATACCCTGTAGGTCCATCCATGTTGTTGCAAATGGCAATATTTCTTTCTTTTTAATGGCTGAATAATATTCTATTGTATGTATGTACCACATCTTCTTTATCCATTTATCTACTGATGGACAATTAGATTGCTTCCATATCTTGGCTATTGTAAATAATGCAGTGATAAACACAGGGGTGCATATATCTTTTTGAATCCTTAACATCAAGATTTTGTTTTGTTTTCTTCAGGTAAATTCTCAGAAGTGGAATTACTAGATTGTATGGTATTTTTATTTTGGTTTTTTGAGGAACCTCCATACTGCTTTCCACAGTGGCTGGCCCAATTTACATTCCCACCAATAGTGTAGGAGGGTTCCTTTTTCTCCACATCTTTGTCAACACTTGTCATTTATAAATGCCTATTTAACTGAATTTTTTGTCAGATTGTCCTCTGTCCAGCATCAGAAGATGATCAGAGGACAGGTTCTGGCTGTCTGACATAATCAGCCGTATCTCACCACTAAATTCCTATAAATGTCATTGCTCACTAATAATTTCTACCCTTGCTGAGTATTTATGACATGACAGATACCATGCTAAGTGATTTTCAGGCATCTCCTTTAATCCTCACAATTCTATGAGGCAAATATTAGTACTCTCATTTTACGAATAAGGAAATGAAGGTACATAGAGATCAGGAAACTTCAAAATTATGCAGGTAGTTAAGTGGTTTGGAAACAGTTTTCTCTAACTTGAAAGCTTGTGTGCTTAACCATTATATATACTGTCTCTCCTGTATCTCGAAAAGATACAGAAAAATCTTATTTCTCTTCCCTGAGCTTTCTTCTTTTGTTTCTCTTTGGCTGTGTGACCATGACCAAGTAATTTAACTTCTGTTGATCTAAATTAAAAATTTTTATGTAAAAAATGAGAGTACTGGACCATATTGGTGTTTCCAAAACTGGTATTACTTGGATCACTATTCTCTTTTTTTTCTTTATGAATTGAACATGTTACATTTTATAAATTTAGGTATACAGCATGTTACTTTGATACATACATACATTGTAACATGATTGCCATTGAAGCAATGTTTATCACATTACATCATTATACTACAATAGTATTGTCTATGTTCATTATATGTTGTATAGATCTTTATGGCTTATTTACCACTCACTATAAGTTTGTACTCTTAAACACCATCAGCCTTATGCCCCCACTCCCCATCTTCTGGTAGCTACCATTTTACTCTGGTTTTTTACAGGTTTGACATTTTTTTAAGATTCCATATATAAGTGCTATCATACAGGACGTGTCTTTTTTGTCTGACTTATCTCACTTAGCATAATGTGCTCAAGGTCCATCCATATTATTGCAAATGGCAGGCTAGCCTCCTTTCTCATGGCTGAATAATATTCCAGTGTGTGTGTGTTAAATTTTTAGAGATACAGGATTTTGAAACAGAAGCAGAATAGTTGGTACTGCATGTGTATTAGAAGAGCTGTTTTTGACCAATAGTGTGATAAAAGTATACTCAAGGATAATGAAATTTCCATCCGTTCTGGATAGATTGGAGAAGGGAGGAAATGAACACAAAGGTCTTAATCATGATGAGGGAGCAGGGTTGGAAGAGAGGTGATGGGAAGAGGAATGGAGATAAGTTTAGATATGATCAATCTCTTGTGTTTCAAACTTTTGTTGTTAATATCCTCAAAATGCTTCACCTTGAGGTACTATGTTGGAGAATCCTTAGATTAAGCCCAACTTCAAACCAACCTGACTGTAGAATCTAGTCCATTCTAGACTAGATCCTGTAATGCAATTATAAGTTATTTTCATCTGTCATCTCTTAATAGGAGTCAGAAAACATATTTCCATTATTAAATATTAACATTAATATGAAGAATTAACATTTTAAAGCTATATGAGGTATCTACATATGCATAACATTATAAATACATATGTAACTCTATTAATGCAATTTTTTTATTTTTAATGATCCTTTAAAGACTAACATGTATCTTATGCTTTATATGAATTATTTTATGTAGATGTTAAGTACTTCAGTGAACAACTGGAAAAATATCACAGACAGCACAAGGATGTAGTAGCTCTAAGACCCACCAGGAATGTAGGATTGCTGCTCATTGACACTAAGCTGCTAAAAGAAAAGCTAATTCCATCACCTTTGCGATGTTTGGAGGTAAATATGAATTAGGGAAAATTTTAATTATAGTTTCTATGATTATTTTGTGATTATTCTACTACAAATAAACTATATTGTATAGTATTGCAAATACTTAAAATTAACACAAGTCTATTAGGCATTCTTAATTTCTAAGAAAAGTCCCATATTCTTCTTTCTGTCCCAAGCATAGTCAACTTTCAGATGAGGGTAACTGTAGGCCTCAGACTAGCCTCTTACTCCCCCTCCTCTTCCCTTGTTGGAGCTCCTCAAGGCCTCAAGGCTTCCTGCAGAAGAGACACCATTGTAATGCACAGAGTCCTAGTAGGAAGGCTCATTGATTCTAGCATACTGAGATCAAGTTTAGGAGATCATTTCCTGATCTGAAACTGTCCCTGAAGATATCTGATTATACTTTGGTGAGCTGTAGAGCTAAGGAAACATATTGGTTCTGTGAAAACTTTCAGGTCTTCCTCTGGAGCCAGAGTATACCTGCATATTCTCAAATGCTTCCAGAAAGACAATGGTATAGAACAGGGATTGGCAAACAGAAATAGTTCACAGGGCCAATCCAGCCTGCCACCTGTTTTGTACATACAGTTTCATTGGAACCACAACCATGACAATTTGCCTATCTTCCTTTCTCACTACAAGGGCATAGCTGAGTAGTTGTGACAAAGACTGTATGTCTTGCAAATCTAAAATATTTCTATCCAGCCCTTTTGGAAAACCTCTGCTGACCCCCAATGTAGGTAAGAGTATAAAAGACGGCAGACCTGAGTGCTTGTACCTGTTCTATCATTCATTACTTGCATGGCATTGCACCTTCTTCTAGAGCTTTGCTTCTTCATCTGTTAAAAAAGGAAAAATATATATAATTGGAGAAAATTCAATTCAATGTCAAGAAACATTTTTGAGGACTACTGTATGCCAAGCCAGAGAAAACTGAACTCAAAATGGCTTAAGAAATCATAAAATGTATGGACTGTGCATCTAAAAAGTCCAGAGAGTAGATGGGCATCAGGGAAGTTTGATCTAGTGACTCAATGGTGACCAAGGACCCAGTACTTTTCTGAGCCTCCTGATGTGCCACCTTCATCCTAAAGTTAGAATTCACTCACATTTCTGCAATGGTTGTCAAGAGCTCCATAGGCAAATTACTTCCTTGTTCACTGAAAGAGAGACAAAAAGAGAAATTAAGATTTTAGACACAGGTGTTTCTCTACCTTAAACAAAAGTCTTAGGGCTTCTCTCTGATTGTATCAACTAAAGTCAGAGGTCCACCATAATCCAGTCACATTGGCAAAAGGAAGCCATGATAATATTTGCCCAGTGGTTAGTCAATCTCCATATTTATTTCTGAAGGAGAGATCAATTTCCCCCAGACCACATGGCTACTATCCAACATGAAAGGAGTGGAAATGATGCTGGGGAGAGCACCACAATGTCCATCCAATACATAGTTCAAACTAGCAGAAAGGGTGCTTACAAGAGATTAGAGCAGTTTAGGCAAATTTTCATAATCTGTGCAATCTAGTTTGTTCTGGAAATGATCTTGAAAACCTGCTCTTCCTGTTAAATCATTTGACTAGCAGTGATTTAATGTGAAAAAAGTACCTTCATACACACCGCTGCTTCCAATACCTATTGCTTGAACAGACATGAATTAGAATTTATTTAAAATATTTAATAAGGTGGAAATATTCAAGTAGTTATAATTCACATTATCTCTTTCTTTTCTAGGTGCTAAATTTTATGCTTCCTCGTCAAAGCAAGAAAAAAGTGGATGCCATTATCTCTGAGGCACAAGATGCAGAGTATAAACTTGAATTTGTTCCAACTACCACCATAGAATACGTTAACAGCTTAGTATTTCTTGATGAAATTCAGGAAAGGGTGAGTTGATTTTCATGTAACTCAATATTTCAGATCTTATGGTAGGTAATAAAGAAAACAAGAGAATTGAAGGACTGAAGGTCAAGAAACAGCAGTCAAAATATCAGAATCACTTTCAAAGTAAGTGGATACCCTATGTCACAGTAATAATGACAACTAACATTTATAGATCAAACTCTTGCTACTAGCCAGGAATTGCAGTAAGTTTTTTAGATGCATTACATTTTTAATCCTCACTAAAAGTTAAGAAATAAGATAACTTTTATTCTCATTCTGTAATTGAAGAAACTGAGACTAGGATAAGTTATATTGTCCAAGATCCAGAGCTGTAGTAGAGCCGATATTTAAATTTGGGTCTCTGACCACAAAGCAAATGTTCTCAACCATGATTGCAAGTCTTATTTGTGATAAATGGTAATAGAATTGTAATCTAGACATTAGTCACAGTAGAAGGCTTTGCCCTTAACCTGTATCTGCATAGTAGTCAGGAACCTTATGGTTAGGAATAAAAGAAACGCAACTAAAACTAATTTAAGTAGGGAGGTGGAGGGAGGGATGGAACCGTAGATATGGGGACTCCAGTGATGCAAGGCTGGACAGCTCTCGCTCTCACGCTGTCTCTCACACACACACACACACACACACACATGCACACATATACATACGTACTTATATATACACTCCTTTGTCTCTCCTATTTCTTTCTCTCTGGAAACTTGGTTTCCTCCTCTCCTATTTCAATAGTCAGTTTTTCATAAGCTTTCATTAATATCAGTTGGCATATGAAATAGAGATAAATTATTTTCTTAGATATCTGGAAATGGAAGATATGTTACAAATAAAAAATATATAAACAGCTAAACAAATCATTAACAACTGGATAGTCTGTTATATGTTGTCAACAGAATTACCAGTAAAGGCTATTTCATATGACTATAAAAGTAACAATTTTGCCTCTCATTTAAAGAAACTGTACCTTCACAAAAGGGTGGATGACTGTGGTTTTCCCAGTTTACTTATGTATCACCCCAGGAGTCTGAAGATGCCAAGCATTTTTTTATTATTTGTAGCCATGAAGGTTCTTTGGACAGGAAATCAAAACGTACTTGAGCTAGCTTTGGTGAAAAGGGGAACCCTATTTCAGGATTCAGGAGTATTTCAGGGGACCCCATCTCCTTCACCAAGAATGTAAGTAGGCTTTGGAACTTATCAAAAGCAGGAATGAGAAGTCTGCAGGAAACCCAGATAGTCCTTTCTCTCCATCCCTCCTCTCTGCATTGCCCTGAGGGTCTGCTTTGCTTCTCTCCCTCTGCAGACAGGCTGCTTCAGTTTCTTCATCCCACAGCAGCAAGCATGGCCACCAGGAGTCCCCAAGTTACACATGTCTAACAGGCCACCAAGACAGAAAATCTCTCTCTTCCATTATTAATGCTTAATGTCTAATAAATGTATTCAGCTGCCACCACCCCCAACTCCATCCTGTTGTATAAACTATGACAGGAAGGTAGGATCATGTTGTAGAGAGTACACTGTTCTCACTCTGTGGGTCCAGAACAGGAGAGTTGACATGCCATGCAGAAAACCCAGACTGTGTCCCATCTCCACAAGGTTGTCTACATTGCTGGGTGGTGTGTTGGGGAAGCAAGTTCCTTAGAGAGTGCTTTCCACACATGAACAGCTTTTTTATGGAATCTTATATTCATTCAGAAAATTTAAAGAACACCCACTTCACAGGGGGGAAGGATTATAACAATGAGTAAATCTGCTTTCAAGGGGCTCAGAGTCTAGAATGAACACAGATAATTATTATACAATAGGTATAGGTACAAGATGCTGTTATAAGACTGGGGAGGTATCATTCTTGCCCTTGAAGCCTTGCAGAAGATGAAGTATTTAAACTATGTCCTAAAGTACATCTGCTCAGGTGGGCATTCCAGGGAGAGGGAAAACCATGTGCACTGACCTGAGGCAGCATGGCAAGAGCAGGATGTGGCAGTTGGTAAGCTGTGGAGAAAGGGTGTTTGGTGCAAAAGCTGATAAACTGTAGCTTAAAGAAGTATTTTCAAGGATAGGAGAGAAGGGATGGATTCCAGAAAGGATTTAGTGGGCAACTGAAGGAGAGGAAAAGCAATATCTAAGACTACTCTTTGCTATCTTTCTACAGTGAATGGGTAGATAGTGGTATCATTAACCTGTATGGGTAGGGCAGGTCACATGACCATTGTCTGACCAGGCCATTTTTGAGAGTGAAAGAGGCACTATCGGTCCTTATGCCAGGACAATAAGTGTAAAGCAGTACACCCAGAGAAACTTGGACATATGCTTACTCCAAGTACAGAAACTATAGGAAGATAAGCAGATCTTGGTGTATACAAACTTAGTTCTATTTACAACTCATTTAAGATTCTAGACACTTTTCATTGAAAGTAACAAAAACTCACATAGTTAGCTTAGAAAAATGAGAAGATGTACTCTAAGTCTGTAGGGATATCTTCTGACATCTCAAGTATGGATAGAGCCTCACCTTCAAGAAGGACAGGAAGTAGGGACTAGGGCAGCATAGGGAAACCAGAAAGCCGCCTCCCTTCCCATCTCTCATCTCTGCTCCTCTCTAGAACAGCGGTTCTGAAACAGGGAGCCCAAACCAGCAGCTTCAGTATCACCGGGGAACTTGTTAGATACGCATAGTCTCAGGCTACACCCTAGACGTCCTGAAGCAGAAACTCAGGTGAAGGGTCCAACAATCTGTCTTTTAACATGTTTTCCAAGGTGATTGTGACACAAGCTAAAAGTTGAGAACCATTTCTACAAAAGTATCTCTGCAGTTGTCTTCTCAGATCAGGGACCTGCTTTGTTTCCACATGAAAGCAAATGGCCTCTGTCAACACCTACAGTCTAATTCTTCCTGTGTTCAAGAGAGCTCAGACTGAGCTGGGTTCCCTAGGTTCCATTCTGATCCTGCTCATCTCAGCTTGTGGCCAGAAGGTTGGGTCAAGTTGTATGAATATGGCTGCTCCCTCTATAATATGTGGCAAAGTTAGGGAGAGGAGGGTTCCCCCAAAATTGGTGAGTCCCTTACCAGAAAGTTAGACATTGTTAACTAAAGATAGGACATCAGAGTAAGATGTTTAGTAGTTAGCTGGAGGTAGTAAAAGTATTTATTAAAGGATAGTGGTGAACATGCAGCCACGATCATGACCTGCCTATATCTCAGAGGCTACTCTGGGACATTCACTGCTCAGCACACATGCCTAGAGGCTCAGATATTACAACTTAGCATCTTTACAGCACATGTTGTCTCTGAAACCTTTAAATATTAGCACTGTTCAATGCTACTAGGGAACAAAAGAGAGAAGAGAAATATTAACATATGTAAGAGTAATACTGTGCTCAGCTCTGAACGACTTTCTTCCTGGGCCTGATTACCTGAACTAGAGCAATAACTATTAATCACCCAGCAGGCTTCAGCCACTTTGATGGTAACATTAAACACACTGCTCACGTGCTGATTATTCACAGTGTGATGTTCATGGTGCACAGTGGCTATCTCCTATTAGACAAAACTTAAAGGGTATGATAGGTTCTGATATATTTAACAAGCAACAACTGTTTCTATTTAGATGGAAAATTCTGATCCTGCTCATCTCAGCTTGTGGCCAGAAGGTTGGGTCAAGTTGTATGAATATGGCTGCTCCCTCTATAATATGTGGCAAAGTTAGGGAGAGGAGGGTTCCCCCAAAATTGGTGAGTCCCTTACCAGAAAGTTAGACATTGTTAACTAAAGATAGGACATCAGAGTAAGATGTTTAGTAGTTAGCTGGAGGTAGTAAAAGTATTTATTAAAGGATAGTGGTGAACATGCAGCCACGATCATGACCTGCCTATATCTCAGAGGCTACTCTGGGACATTCACTGCTCAGCACACATGCCTAGAGGCTCAGATATTACAACTTAGCATCTTTACAGCACATGTTGTCTCTGAAACCTTTAAATATTAGCACTGTTCAATGCTACTAGGGAACAAAAGAGAGAAGAGAAATATTAACATATGTAAGAGTAATACTGTGCTCAGCTCTGAACGACTTTCTTCCTGGGCCTGATTACCTGAACTAGAGCAATAACTATTAATCACCCAGCAGGCTTCAGCCACTTTGATGGTAACATTAAACACACTGCTCACGTGCTGATTATTCACAGTGTGATGTTCATGGTGCACAGTGGCTATCTCCTATTAGACAAAACTTAAAGGGTATGATAGGTTCTGATATATTTAACAAGCAACAACTGTTTCTATTTAGATGGAAAGTCTTGAAGATGAAGGGAATATAGTGATTCAAATGTATAAGCTCATTGACCTATATCAAGTTCCCACACCCCCTGAAGACTTTGCTGTTTTTGCTACTATGAAGCCATCCATTATTGCGGTTCGGAATGCCATTGATAAATCTGTGGGAGATAGAGAAACTTGCATTAAGCAATTTAGTCTGCATTTGGGCAGAGATCTTGAAGACCTAAACAATGAAGTGAATGAAGTAAAGTTATTAGCACAGGTAAGCTAAAGCAGGATTTAAAATATAGTCTGTGTAGAGTTTGACTATTATATTATATAACATATGTATATATATATATATGTGTGTTCTACTCTAGACTATATTCTATACAATATGTATCCTATACATATTTGAAAGTATGAATAGTTACTACTTAACAACAATACATGTGTGTATAGATAGCACAAGTGTCAGCAAGGGCTTTGTGTACAATCATGCATCTTAAAAAGTATGATGCACATACATAGAAACGATAGCAGAGGTTCACTCCAGCAAGTGCTTCTTTTATAGAGGGTTTAGAATGAACTCGTTAGCTCTCTTGAGCAAAGAAGTAAAACTTCATTATTTCTTTAAATGATAACATCTTCCTGTCAAGATCAGCACTCCTGATGATGGAGGGTGTTGGAGAAAAAATCCTCCATGTGACTGTTGATGATAACTCAGTTTCAGTTGGATATGTCTGTTTAATACTATCTTGGTCTCTTTTGGACAGATCTTAATTCAGATCAGATCTGAACTCCCTATTGGGCCCTTTTTTTACCCTCACCACCATAACCCCCCACATCTTGCCCCGTAAAGGAAGGTCTGCATTTCCTCATGGCAGATGGAGGGATGAGGCATGCAGCCCTCTTGCTGCCTTCTGAACTTGTAAGGCTTCCAGTATACTTTGGCTCGGCTGGACCTGGTTGTCCCAGGCAGCTATTAGCTAAGGGTCCTTCCTGGTTCCTTCGGTCCCACGCCGGCCCCTGCTGTTGTGATCCATCATTTCTGCCAGTCTGTAGTCTGAAGTAATCTGTAGCTGTCTCAGACTTCTCCTGGCCCACCAGTTCTTTCAGCCATTCCCGCTGCCAGAATCAAAACATGTAGAGCTTCCCAGTCCCCTCCATACCAGACCAAGCCATGAGGCACCAGGTTGTGGGGACAAGCCCCTTCCACCTGACCACTTCCTTTAGCTTGTTGCCATTTTGAATGAAGGACCATGCTGACTCAGAGATTGGCCACCCCAAGCTATGGCTGTAATAGTTCTCAGATTCTGCCACTCCTCAGATTCTCCCAAAGTAGTTATGTTTTTCTACTTTGCTCCTGATTCATTGGGTGGGGTTTCAATTCTAACAGGTCAGCCAGAAAGCTTAAGTCTAACCATTTATTCTTTACCTTCTATCTTCCTACCTTTCAGAAACCAAAGGGCTTTTTATTGCCTTTATTGTAAAATAAAGAGAATTTTCCTTATATCATATCCTCTTCCTTCTTTTCCCTATAGCATTCAACTCTCCTTATTTGAAGTCATACTGGTTGAAGTATAGGAAATGCAAGTAGAGAAGGAAAAATGTATTAGGTACTATTTAAAAGCAGTATTATCCCTATGACACTTTTTTATACATTTCTTTACTTTTTACAATGTATACGCATTTCTTTAAAATTCAAGAAAATCAACTACTTCAACATGTTTTCTAAAAATCAGAGCTAGAAGAGAATTTGAAAAAATACTTATGGAAAATGTTTATTAATTAATTTAATGATCTACATCAAACAGTAGGAATGACTAATCAAAAACTATCTTAATTTCATAGGATCCACAAATTTTAGATATTAATGCTGACCAGGACAAAATAAAGGTCATGTTGAATGATCTGCAATCAGTTCTGGATGATCTTCAAAAACGAGCATTTCAGTATAAATCCTATCAGAAGAATTTTAAGGTAATGACAACTCTACACATCTATTTTTAAAACATGGCATTAATGCACAAGTACTTTCAGCAATATGACTGTACAATACAATCAAACATTGATATAAAAATATCAATGTTTGGACACCTATGTGATAATTATTTTTCTGGAACAGCCTGAAATATAAAATATGATGTGTTCCCTGCCTTTAAAGTGCTTAAATATTAGTATACAGGAGAGGCGAATTATCTTTTTTTATTGAAAAATAATTGTGAATTATATAGAAAAACCCTCAGACCACGGACTATAGTTTCTATGTTAAAATGTATGTGGGTTTTTAAACGTAGTCTATTAGAACCCCTCTATCCTTTCTTAAGTAATATTCAAACCCCTTGTACATCCATGTGTGTGTTACGCTTCCATGAATATTGCCTGATGTGCTCTGTTTTGGTGTACTGATTTGATGGAAGAGAATTTGGCAGAGCCAGGGGACAGATGGATCCAGAAGGGTGGGGAAGGTGCTTCAAACAATGCAGAGAAATTGTGGAGAGATATAAGTGCTCTGAACAGTTATTAAGAGACCAAAAAGAAAAGAGGATAGAAATAGAAACATCCCTAGGGTCAAAACAAGGGGGCCACCAGCAATGAGTGAGGTGTGATTAGTTTCTTCAAAAGTCTTCTATTTTATGTAATTTGTTGCATTTGATTGTTCATAGTAGTCTCATGATCCTTTGTATTTCTGCAGTATCAGGTATAATGTCGCCTCTTTAATTTCTGATTTTATTTATTTGAGTCCTTTTTTTTCTTAGTTTAGCTAAAGGTTTGCCAATAATTTTTTTTTTTCAAAAAACCAGCTCTTTGTTTCACTGATCTTTATTATTGTCTTTCTGGTCTTTATTTCATTCATTTTCACTCTGATCTCTGATCTTTATTATTTCTTTCCTTCTGCTAAATTTACACTTACTTTTGTTCTCCTCTTTCTAGTTCCTCCATGTGGAAAGTTGTTTATTTGAGATCTTTTTATTTTCTGAATGTATGCATTTATCACTATAAAATTCCCTCTCAGAACTGCTTTTGCAGCATCCCACAGGCCTTGGTGTGCTGTGTTTCCTTTTTTTTTAAATTTCCTTTAGATTTCCTCTTTAACCCATTCAGTGTTCTGGAGTGTGTTGTTTAGTTTCCATATGCTTGTAAATTTTCCAGCTTTCCTTTTGTTATTCATTTTTAGTTTGATACCATTATGACTGGAAAAGATTCTTGGAAAGATTTCAGTCTTCAATTTTTTAAGACTTGTTTTGTGACCTATCATACAATGCATCCTGAGTAATGTCCTATTTGCACTTGAAAAGAATGTATTGTGCTGCTGTTGGTAAGCCCTAGATTATTACAGGGCTCACAATTTTTGCACAACTAACCACCTCAAGCAAAAGCAGTCTTAAAACTCTTCTTTTGAAAACAGCTTCTTCAGATTTTCTTGCAACCTTTATCCCTATGGGGTGCATATTCAGCCTGAGGTTAGAAAGAGGTAAGAAATCAGGCTCTTCTTTCCATCTTAAATCTCCCCATCCTGCATTATGTGTAGTCACATGGTGTGGGGCGATCACGGGGGAAGACAGTGTAGCACAGAAAAGGCACATAGGGAATCTGCGGCATCTTGCTGCACTTGATGGACAGTGACTGCATTTGGGTGGGGTGGGGTCTTGATAATATGGGTAGATGTAGTAACCACATGGTTTTTTCATGTGAAACCTTCATAAGAGTATAATACCTTAAGAAAAAAAAGAAAATGGGCCAAGAACAGGAGCAGGGAATTCACAGAAAGGGAACCTACCCCAACTTACCATGTTGTAGACATGAAATATGTACAGCCTTTTGTATGTCAATCATACCTCAATAAAGTGGTTTAAAAAAAAAAATCTCCCCATCCTCTCCAGCTACTACATGAACATTTTATCCCTCTTCTATCATCTAAGTATGTAAGTGCTCAAGGAAATCAGTGCCTCTGAAGACTCATTTGTTTTCCAAAAGTGGCCAGACATGTATATGCATTTATGATCCAACTTGAGGAAGAATGTCCATTTTACAAAGATGTGATATTTATATCTTTGGAGAATGTTTAAGTTCTAAGGAAATAAAAAGAGTTAGATTTTGTCACTCAAATGGAAATTTTGAATGTACATGGGGTTTTGTGATTTTTTTTGTTTTATTCATTTGTTTCTCTCTCTACTTTTCTTTCCCCATTTATGACCCACCATATTCTGCTTAGCAGTTACTGTGTCAAGAATTACTAATAGGAGGATTTAATAAGATCCTATGTCTGAAAACTAAATGGTGCATTTTTCTTGTTGTATTTTTAAAGGTAGAAATATCCAAGTTTGAAGCTTTGGAAGAAGTTAGTTCTGAATTGAAGCTTAAACAATTGCTCTGGGATTCTCTTTCTGAATGGGATCATCTCCAACAAGAATGGTTAAAGGTAAATAAATAAATAAATAAATAAAACCTCAATTCTTTAATCTTTTTTTACTAATTAACTTAAGATCTAAATAATATGAATTAAAATTTTTAACAGTTTGGTATATTCTTAATTTCAGTAAAATATGCAGTGTTATAATTTTATAGGAATTATTGTCAGCTTCTTGGTGAAATGCACAAAGGTCTTTCTGTGACTGTATACCACAGAGCAGAATGCATTAGCATAAGGGAGGCTTCTCAGGTGCTCAATGAAAAAGGCTAAATGAAGGGAGCATCAAAGGACCTCACTACATGACATTTAAAACTGCTTTGTGGTTTCTGAATATAGTGTGGTCATAATACACTACACCCAAGTATCCTTAAGGATTGTGGGATTTTATTTGTGATCTACCCACTTTATATTTGTTAGCTTAGGTTTGTGTTCTTTTCCTTTAAACAAAAAAAGGGAGCCAGTTTATTCACTGTGATATTCAGGATTGGAGTAATGAGATCTAGGATCTTCCTTTGAGAGCTCAATAGTAAATCCTCTTAATTAGGGGGAAAGTACTAACAATCACCATAGAGTTTGGTGTCTAGGGTCTACCCTTATAGTCAAACCTTAAAAAGGGCCAACCCTCTAAGAGACAGAATAGCTGACCATCTGTTCTTTCAAGTGTAATATGGACTTGCTCATTCAGCCTATCTGTGCTGATACATACATGAGGAAGTCATATGTCTGGATTAAACACCAGTACACAGATAATATTTCTCATATATTTTGGGTGTTGGAGATACTGGTGGAGAATAAGAAGAACAAAGTCCAAACACTCCGAGAACCTTCTTTTGGTGGGGAAAATAGACAATGCATATATATATATGCTATAATATAAGAGAATTTTAAGTTCTCCTGTATAACTCACTTACTATTTTTTTTTTGAAGGGCAGTTGACACACAGTATTACATTAGTTTCAGGGTACAACACAGTGATTTAACATTTATATACATGATAATTCTAGGTACCAGCTATCACCATACCAAGTTGTTACAATATTTTGACTATATTCCTTATGCTATACATTACATCCCATTTACTTATTTATTTTACAATTGGAAGTGTGTACTTTTTTTTTTGTGAGGGCATCTCTCATATTTATTGATCAAATGGTTGTTAACCACAATAAAATTCTGTATAGGGGGGTCAATGCTCAAT